AATAGTCGGCATTTCTTGCGCCGTAAAGTGGTGGTACCTCTAGTGGTACATGCTCACACAATGAACCTGAAGGAGGAGGAAACATGTTCGCCAAGAGAGAGAGCAGCTGAGGTTCTCGATGCATACAGCAACAATCTTCATGAACATTAACGGTACTACTGTCGGGCACAGCGAATAAAATGGGAACTTCATTGAAGGCGTCAAGTACTTACTCGCGGTGGTCTGACGGTATACGCGTCAAAAAAAAATGAGAATGACTGCGAGGGACCGACGGCTCAGACGAGTCCCATCCCAACGGCACAGTTTGAGTGCTGGTGAGATCGCTCCTGCACGACGGTCGCGGGAGCCGCAGTTTGGTCGGCATCGCCCGCGCACTGGCATTGGATGGAACATAATTCCGAACCACATACTGTAGCTCTTTTTATACACAGGCACTTATGACAATCTGGTGCATCTATCGGTCGTGTGTCCCGCAGGGTGAACGAAACCTGACAGAAGCGAGGGGTTGTGGCACTACTGCTGTTGTAGGAGTGAAGTCATTCCGAAAGCCAAACAGTTGCAGCGAAGTCTCGCTGCCAAGAGTAGCGATACAGGCCACTTCCGCTGGGAACGCAAATCAAACGCTATCCACATGCTGAGGTAGAGGGAATTTGCTGCCCAATATCAGGGATATCATACGAAGAGCTAAGCACTACTGTGGCTAGAACGAAAAAGTTTTCCGTAGGTGAAAGGTGAGGTTCACGAAAGTTTCGGTTGGAAACATATTTCGTGACGGATATTCATACGAAAAAATTGAATGCACCAGCACGCATCTTGTAGGGGGCTGTCGATAATATTTGTGCACCCACCACTCACGCACGCACACAAGGTTTGGCAGGATCCGTGGCGCGACTTCTTTTCATTCTCCCTGAGTTTGCCCACGGGCTTCAACATGCCAGCAGCTATCGATTGGCGGCGAGTTGTAGCAACAATCGTGCTGCTGTTCAAAGTCACTTTCTCCGCGACGGCATGCTGCGATGAGCATGTTTTGGTATATAGTAGTGAATAGAAACAGAAGATAAAGTAGTACGACATGAAGGACACCTCCCTTGCTCACGTGTAAGTCGATCTCCGTGAAGGATACTAGGGCGAGGAAGCGCTGGTAGATCGTCATCGCCCCAGCTATCACCACGGCCTTCGTTGTCAGCCGCTTGCAGATCTCCAACATGAGCTTGTGCGCCTGCGAGCGGTGCTCTTTGTCGTAACGGAGTTGTTGCGCCCGCCAGAGCTGGTCGGCTTGGCCGCAACCCATCCTTCAAGACACACCACATGGACGGGGAGCAGCACAGGCGAAAGCAGCCGAGAATGAATGTCAAGTGAGCAGAGAGGCCGCCTGCAAGCACGTACCAGGTCCCAACCCGATAGCAACGACTACAAGGCGCTGCAATCCTGAAGATTACGGCTGGATACAGTCGATCGATTGAGCGGCGGGCTTTTCTCACGGAATGGCCATGATCATCCTGCACTACTGCTGCTGCCGACTGTTATGGCCCACATTGGACAAGTCTATTTACTGATGGCTGATGATGAGCATGCTAACATGTCATGCTAACATGTTCTATCGAACTGGTTCCTTCCTCCGTGTGGTTCACAAAAATTTCGGCGGAACCATGCAGTACGGTTTGAGCCGCGCGCAGGTCGTGACGGGCCAGATAGCTCCACGTGAGCACCAGGCTATATGCACACCCCACCTTTCGGAATAATGTGATGAGGCAGCAGCGGTGATCAAACTGGAGGGAGTCTCTACACTTCTTGCTACGGTGCACTTAATCTGCACACGAGAAAGGTCCGTCCAAGTGTCCCCTCCCTCACGAGTGTGTTCTTTTCACTTGTTTAAATCTCAAGGTTTTGGGGTGTAGGGTGTAAAAGTGCGCGTGGGTTGGCAGGCTATTACAGCACCCAAACCAGCAGCACGTGATGCTTTCACCAAGAGAACGGGGCGTTGAAGAACAACAGCGCTTTTTTATTCAGCATCCAATATCAAAGTTCTGCCGACGGGGGAGAAAGACAAAGAGAAGAGCGGTCATCACACAGCTTCCCCAGGCACTGCAGGTGACAGTATCGTTACCTCTGCTGTACAGCAGCAGTAGAAATGTGTATCCTCACCTGCTGCTCTTCTTGAGGGAGGGGGGATTTTCCAGCTCCTCCAAGGTGAACTTCCATCCACGGTCCTCCCAACCAAAGTCGGAGCGCCTCCCAACCCTCGTCACGACCGCTTGCTCCTTTCCCTCGTCTACCGGCTTCGCTGCGGCTGCTCCTGTGTCAGTCATCGCCCCGAGTGCGGCGGCGAGCGGGTGAAGTGGCTGATTGCGCGATCTGCCGAGGGAGTTCCTCACAGGACCCGATCGATCCTACCCTTCTCCAGGAGCTTGTCTAGTCAGGTCGTTCCTTGGCTTGTCGCTTACACTGATCTCACGTGCTTGGAGCTGGTGCCTCTGTATCAAGCTAGAAACCACAGCAGTGCTGTGGGGCGGACGGCGGCGCAAGAAAACATGGCGGAGTGGGGGGGCTCTGTGATTGTGAATATTATTTTCAATCCGGGGGGGGTCTACAGAGAAACCAACCCGCCGTCCGTTGAAAAACAACTCTGTACGTCAGCCATTTTGCGGCGGAACAGACGCCCCAGGCCCCCTCTCCCCGGGGACTATTTAGTGACATCCCCTTGTTTTCAAACAGAGGCGTTGTCCATTGACCGTTAGCGCCGCACTTGCGGGCATTCACAACAGAGACTTCTACTGGCTGGTAGCTCGCGCCTCTTTCGTTGGGCGACCAGGGCACCTGTCCCGTTCACGAAATCCACTCTCACGAACGAAAGAACAGGGCACGATATCAGTGAGAGTCCTCTAACCTGGCGAACGTACTGTAGTGTATGGGAAAAGGGTTTGTCTTTGGCTTGTACCTTGATGGGCATGTTGCCGCCTCGCTCATGTCCCCGCTTGAAACACGCGCAACCCTGTTCACGAGGTTGGTTTGGAATCGGGGTCACGGGCACTGGCAGCCCCACGAGAGTGAAGGGTCTCAAGCCACATAGTCTTCGTCTAACCGCCTATAGCCACACCGCACATTTGGTGGAAAACACGGAAGGAGGCCACCGCAAAACACTTTGACGTTNTCACAGTCTTTGTCTAACCGCCAATAGCCACACCGTACATTTGGTGGAAAACACGGAAGGAGGCCACCGCAAAACACTTTGACGTTACACCAAACGGGTGAGCGCAACACTTCAAAAAATGTGTCATTCTACGAGCGAGCATGTGCACCCGGTCGTCAGGGCACATCGCATCATACCAGCACTTACACTTAGACTTGTGGGTGAGCCTGTGACCACAGATCATCGAAACAACATACATGTAATGCAGGTGGGGTGGGGTGAATTTACTTCCTGAGAAACGGCCGGAAGCCTAGACACTATGATTCAGACCGTACGAAACAACAGCAGCAACAACAGGGCATTATCTGCATCAGCAGCGTTCTTCCGGACC